GGGGGAGCTTTTCACGACGAAAACACACCCTTCGGGAAAGCTCAATTCCAGGTGCCCGTGAAAAAACAAGCCGTGAAGAGGCACCACCACAAACACAACCTGAAACACAGGTACGAGTTTCTTGAGACCCTCGGAAAAGGAACCTATGGCAAGGTGAAGAAGGCCAAGGAAAGGTCCGGTAAACTGGTAAGCATGGTGTTATTTTTCTTTTATTATTATTATTTTTAATCTGATCACATTTTACCTGCAGTCAGTCTCAGGTCAGTCTTTGGGCTGCTTGTCCCATCGGCCACCTGTTGTTTAGACAGCAAGCGCTATTTTTAGGTGACTGACTGTCTGCAAACAGGTAGAGCACGCTTGGATTTGAATTTTCAAATAAAGGCGTGGAAACTCTACCGCAGAGCGTTCACTTTGAAAAAAGAAAAAAGCGAAGTATTGCTGGATTGTTAGAAAAATAATATATATATTTTTTTTTTATATATAAGGCGGATTGTAAAGTTGAAAGTGCGCCTGGCATCTCTCCTGAGGTGTTTGTCTATTGGCTAAAGTTTGACGAAGGGTTCAGTGTGTTTATTTATGGGGTTTTCTTACGTTCACACTGAAATATACTGACCATGATCTAATAATTTCCTCCTCGCCAGCCCGCAGACTCTTTCTGATCTGCTTGATAAGCGCTTAAATTTGGCTTAAGCGCAAATGCAATTATGCAAGCATCTGCCCATGCCTCTTCATGGTGTATTCAGGTTAAACAGTGAGATCTGCTTCAGTTTGAGGTCATTATCATGGAGTTTCAACAGAAATTTATCACAAGGCATTTTACATAACCTCGCTCTTCTTCTTCTTTCTTTTTTTTTAAATTAGCCCATGTGAGGCACAAAATAAAGTCTCTTGGAAAGGGCTGGGTAAGTTATTTTCCCCAGGAAGCAGTTTAGGTAACTTTCTTTTTGTTGGGTTTTTTTTTTCTGATAAAAGGAACAGGAGGGGGTTGCAATTGGGCTTCCAGGTAAATTCCAGCTCTCCATGGCCTAAGGGGAAATGGGAGGAATTTAAAACATTAGAAAGATAAGCCCTTAAAGGAGGCATAAAAAGGAGAGGGGGGGGTTCCCCTTGATTATAGATCTTGGATCTCTTTTATTTTTAGCTTCTAAATATTTTAGAAAGGAATGTGGAAGCGGTTTGATTATGATTGTGAGACCAGTTAAAAAATACTGTACGGGACTGGGTCAGGGTCATGTGGTACCACAAAACAAACCCTGACTCAACAACAACACTTAAAACCAATTTAAACAAACCCACATAATAAACTGGCACCTGAGTTTATTTTTGGTGAACCTATTAACATCTTCGTTCTCTCGGTAAACATGTGATTTGCATTGCTGCCTAATGGTTTGTTTACTTGCCGTGGCTTATCGAACATACCGGGAAAGTGTGTTAAAATGATACAAATCAAAGCCCACATCTAGACTTTAAAATGAAAACTAAACGTTCCTGCTGTAGATACCTGGGCCTTTTCTTGGGAAGCCTGACTTGGCTGCTGTTTCATACTTTATCGGAATTTATCGGAAATGCCCTTGGTCCTGCTTTTGTGTAAGTGAAAGTAGAGAAGTCAAGGAAGTAAGTGTTAGGAATCCCTTTCCCCTTCCCTTTGGTGCTTACAGTAAACATGCAGTGATACAAGTTGAGCCATGTCCACACACGCCCATTTCTGCTCTTTCACCGACTGGCTCTGCTGTTTTTATTAGAAATGAGTTGGTGTCTGGGATTTATCCCTGCCACCAGCTTCCTGATGCCTCAAACCTACAATTTTTAATTTTTTTTATTTTTAAGTATCAAAATACTGATTAGCCCAAATACGTATTTTGAATCTCACACCCAACAAATGGCATTTAGCAGAGAAGCCTTTGCACGCCTGATTATTGACAACATAATGGACAGAGATGTGTCATTGACTCAGGGAAGTGACACAAAAACAAAGAATGGCTTCATCTTGCGTGCTGTGGCATTACAGCTGTTTCCATTGTCTAAGTGCAAGAGTTTGATTGCATAATCCACTTAGGTGGGAGGTGGGGTGAGGTAGGTTGGGGGGGTGGGGTGTCAACATACATCAGGATAGGGGTTGATCTGCAACTCGGTGCCTGACATGAATGTTGTTTGTGTATTCAGACGCCCCAGTTAAGTCCCTAGACTTGGTTTGCATCAGCTGTTGATTAATTCATTGTGCAAGAGAGTTCCCAGGGGCGTTTTTACTCATGCTCCACAGTTAAACTGGTTAAATACTTGTGTCTGTATGTCTGTGTAGGTTCTCAGTCATTCAGGTCATGACAGCCTTAAAAAAAAACAACACCGACCTTTTTAAGTTAAAGTCCATTTGCCTTCTTTTTGAGCTCCTAAGACTGCGTCTATACTTGCTTTATTTAGATAAAGTGACTCAGTATACCTGTAAACAAAGTGCCATTTACTGATGTCAGAGGCCGATACTCACCTGTCGTGACTCATCTGTGTTGTCACATCAGCTGAGCACGGGATAAATATTCCAAGATGGTCTGAAGAGCTGATATAAGGATCTTAAGAAATCCTTAAACATGCTTTTTTTATATCATGATTTATTGTTTACCCGGAATAAGAATAAATAAAAAGGATATTAATGATATCAAATCTGTCCCAAAATGTAGTTTTTAAACTTCTGGATCGACCCAGGATTTTGTGCATACTTGATTAAAACTTCATAAATTTCACACTCTACAAAGCTTCACTAAGCCTACATTTTAACAGGGCTATCTGGTGCAAATGGCCAGGGGGATAATGGTGGCTCATGAGTTGTGTGTGTTGTGCAGAAATGTGGTTTGAGTCTTTGCTGTGAAATGTAAAAGATTTCAGCCCCTCGGTGCTTATTACGTGGAGCAGACTGTCTGTAACAGAGATTGCACACACACACAGATAACCTCACAAGGATGTGAACTCCTCATGAGTGTGAGTTCAGGCCTGTCTGACAGCTACGCAAACAAATGCAGGAAACCTCCATTCTCAGAGTCAGGAAACGGGCCCGGGTGGGGGGAATACGGGGGTTTATTTGCAAGATCATCCACGCCAGACAGTGACTCACGACGGGGAGACAGGTCGCGCGTTGACACGGATATGACAAGTCGCTGCTTTACTCATTTTCCTGTCTCTGGAACCTCGAGGGTTAGAAATGAGGACACCCCACCGCCTGCACCATCTGGTGCCTCACAGCACCTCTTCAACCTTGGGGTGGACTGATGACGCACTCGGCGCACAGAGGAATCCCAAGCATCTGCGCTTCCAATGGGCAACAGAATGACATGAATACAGCTTGCCTGCGAGTTCAGACCGAGATGCTATTCACATTTAAATTTTTACTTCTGTGGGCCTCGCAGACCTAACGGCCAACTCTAGTTTTCTTTAAAACAGACAATACTTGACCCAGAGTTCCCTTTGCAGAGTTTAAAACAGCACAGGTTTCAGTTCACTGCTCATTGTTCCACTCGCAATCAAATAAGCAGTGGGAGGACGGCAATTTATGTTAACTAGCGGCTGATTTGTGGATTTTTTTCTTCTTTTTTTTAAACCATACTGCACTTAATAGACATGACTTATCTAGTACGTGCATTTTATACCTCTGCTGATCATTGCATTAAGGTTTTGTTTGCTTTTTAACCAATAATTATGCAACTTTTGACCTGAATTTGATTTAAAAAATGCCTCATTTGAGCAACATAACCAGTAAAGTTGGATAAAGTTGACGTAAATATTACTGTCACTGATTTTTATTTTTTTCAACTTGTGCACCTTGTGGTTTAGCATTTATAGAGTCTCCTACAGTCTCTTGTGTCCTTTTGAGTGTTAAAATTAGATTTGCTGAAACACCTCGAGGACCATTAGAGTTGTCATTAGCATTAGAAGCTGGAGAGAGCTGGAGTACAGGCTCACTCGTTCCCTTTTTTGTCTCTATTCATGTAACCCCCTCCAGCAGACTTCTAACCCTTTTTACACAAGGAAGCCCATTAAAGTGGTTTAGACCTTATGTGGGGGAAGAAAAAGTTTGATTCCGTGTTGGATGATTAATTATTCCGTGAGCTCATTCTTACTTACCTCTCACTTTATTGATTTTTCTTTCTCAAAGGTTGCCGTAAAATCTATCAGAAAGGAGAAGATCAAGGATGAACAAGATCTGATTCACATTCGCAGAGAAATCGAGATCATGTCCTCGCTCTGTCATCCGCACGTCATCACCATATATGAAGGTACATTATTTCAAAAACAAAATACTAATGACTCTATGTTTGGGTTTGACTTTTAATCATTCTGTCCCACACGCTACATACAAACGTGATATCTTGGGTGGTGGGAAGGAGTCTCTCTGTTTGAGATTCCGAGTTTTGTCACGCACGTCTTTGTGCTCAAGTCTGATGCAGAGTTACGTAAGTGGCAACTTCCTGCCGTAATCCGGCGCCGCTGATAATGTGCAGAGCCCCGTGTTTTCCAGCACCCCTCACGCCTGATGAGGTGGTCATCACTCAGCGTTTCTCCACTTCAGTGCACATTTGTTTGCTGTATAGTCGTAATTGGTGTAAATTAGCGGTTGCACAGATAATGGCACTTGCACAGAAAGAAATCCTAAGCTTTGGAATAATCTTCCTCTTCACATTAGGCAATCGACATTAGTGCTGGTTTTTAAATCCAGATTGAAAACGCATTTTTATTCACTGGCTTTTGACTCAGTGGTTGACTGACTTGTATTTTATTGTTTTTGCTATGTTTATTATTTTATCGTATTTATTATTCTTATGGTATCTATTGTGTTTCTATTGTTCAGCACTTTGGTCAGCCTCGTGTGTTTTTAAAGTGCTATATAAATAAACGATGATGATAATGATGATGATAATGGACGTCTCTCACACAGCTCAAGTATTGCAAATGGTTTGAAGCGTTGAATTCAAAGGAGCTCTGCTCTTCTGTATTTCAGTATTTGAGAACAAGGACAAAATTGTGATTGTGATGGAGTATGCCAGCCGGGGGGATCTGTATGACTACATCTGTGACAAGAAAAGCATCCCCGAGCAGGAGGCCAGGCATTTCTTCAGGCAGATTGTGTCAGCTGTCCACTACTGTCATCAGGTAAGGCAGTTTTTCTCATATTGGATCTTCAACCTGCTGTTGTCTTAAGCCTAATGACACAGGGCTGCGCTCAGATTCACTGTTTTTCCAAGGCGCTGCCACCTCCAAAGTTACATAATGGGCATTATTCACTGTTAGCCTGGGGGAAAATGAACAGTTGATCTGTACTGAGACCAAGTGTAGGCTAAAGGCCAGCAATCCCAACATGCACACGCATGGTCTCACAGTTTAATGAGGGTGTGAAGGAACAGAACACACACACACAGCAATCGGTTGTTCTAGCAAGCCCAGAGCCGTGCAATTACCACCATTCAGTGAACATTATATTTTATCATGGCTCTGCTTGGCAAAGCATTTATAAATAAACGTTTGCTAGACAGTATTTACTGAGTGACCTGCCCTTTCATATTACTGTGTTAACCACCTGTCCTTGACCTCTTTACGGAGGTCTGATGTCTCGTTAAACATTTATTTATCGAAGTTACTCAGCAGAAAAAGGCCATCTGTTATATCACCTACATTTGGCACAGCGTCAAATTCCAAAGTTTCTTCATGATGGCATTTTAACAATAAATGAACGCCACGCTACACAAAGAATGTGTTCGTTGCTACAGCAAGTGCTCATATGTAAGGAGCAGTAGCTGACCTGCTTTTTTTTTTTTTTTTTTTTTTGTAAGTGAAGCAAATGCAAACTTGAGTCAAAGGCATGCCCCCCTACAGAGCAGAGCACAATGAGGCACTGCTGACGTACCAGAGAGGTCTTCTGTTAGAGAATAATGTGGTGTAACCCAGTAAAGCAAATC